ACAATCAGTGATTATACCTAACAAGAATAACTGAGGGGTAAACTTTATCCTTTTTTAAGAACATTTTGCATAATCCACCGGGAAGTCTTATTGTTTTTGAGGTACAGGAGGCGACGAGCGTGGTCACCTCATGACTGCTGCTGCGTAGCACATAGCTAGGCCTGCTGCTCTTTTTGCAATGGCCATTAGCGTGACAGAAAGGGCGCGGTGGCTAGGGTTGTGGGAGCGGCCATTAGGTAAGAGCATGTTGGGTGCATGGGGCATGTTCCCCCTCCCTTTCCCCCCCTGCAGCCTCACCTCCTCACCTCATGTTGTTTTCATGGCAAGCAACCAGAGGACATGGCAGGGGCTGGCTGCGCATGTGTTTAAATGCTTATTTTGGGGGGGGGATATTTTAGCGCATGTGCTCAAAAGTCCAGTTGGGCTTATTATCTGTGGAGGTCTTATTTTCAGGGAAACAGGGTAGTAGAATATTCTGTTTTCTTCTTTCTATCCTTGAAGTACATTAAGCAATACACTTCTGGCAGATCATGATTGCTTAAGTGACATTAACAATTAATTTCTACCTCAGAGATAGGGCAAAATTATTTTCCTGTCAATTTATTATTAAATGATAACATAACAGAAAGATAATGGATCCAGTGAGATATGCAAATTGCTATAGGTCTTAGCCATACAAGTTAAACCATTTAGCTATTTAGCAAATATAACAAAAGAACAATGGGTTGTGTGTATGAAGGCTTGCCAGTATTGGTCTCAATGTGTGGCTCTGTGCATAGCTCATTGATATCTGTGATGTGGAGACAGCAAATGTTTACATTTATTCAAAAATATAGTGGGATTTTGAATGAGTCCTTAAAGAGGAGAACCTCCTATTTAAAGAAAGCCCGTTTTTAGGAGAAAGCAAAAGTCTTGAAACAATATTTCACAGCTTGAGCATCTAACCGGGTCCCAGTATCACCATCTTTCCCATAATGATAAAATTGCTTGCTTGCTTTCCCTTCAGGTTAATCTTGACAGATGATGACAGCCTGGATTGGTCTCTGCAGTTTTCTTGAAAAGATTTCTGAAGTGGTTTAGTAGAGTTGAGGAAGAAAGATTGGCTCAAGATCACCAGTTGACTTTGTGTCCAAGATAAGACTATAGCTCCTGGTCTCCTAATATCTAGCCTGGTGACTTACCCATTATTCTCAAATGGACATCTTATTTCTGATTATTAGTTATAATAATCATTTATACATTTCATAAATGCATATAAATTATCGAGCGCTAATTTTATGGAGATCTACTGCTATCTCTGCTTAGTTATGTTTTTTTCGGGATGAGGAAGATATGTGCTGGTTTACCAACATTATAAAGAAAAGTTTCATTCGTATGGTTTAAGATGAACTCCAGTATATATACAATTACTTTGGGATACATTTCATTATCTTAAATTGATCTTATTTTTGCCACATATATAACCATAAGTTGTTCTGAAACTAATGGAACTTAAGAGTGCATAACGTAAGTTGAATTATGCCCAGTTATTTCTTTCCACTTTACTGGATATGCAACAAAGAGTCATTGGGGGTCAGGTGGCATATAAGTTTAATTAAATTATTATTAATTGCATTGTCTACAGTGTAAAGCCAAAGAAACATATTAGTAATATAAATATATTATTCTCCTTAGCCTAAATTAGTATGCTGTAGTTTTACTCATTTTTAATTAAGGCACAAACGATAATTACCACTAGGTGGCAACTGTTCAATTAATTCTATTTATTTTTATTGTTCATCACTCCTTCCTATAATTTTCAGATATTGAATGCCATCAATAGATGTCAGCATAACAAATATAC